TTTTTTTCTTGCACCATATTTTCACAGCCATAGGCAGTTGTTATGTGTTGTCAAGTCAGAACTGACTCATAGCTGACCCTCTCAGCAGGTTTTTAGAAGCTGTAAGTCACACAGGAAGAGAATGCCCACCTTTCTCCCATGGAGCCACCAGTGGATTTAAACCAACTGCCTTTGGATTGGCAGCACAGCTCCTTAGCACTAAGCATCTTACGGAATTAGAGCAAGTATCAATCATTAAGACTAAAATAGTCATCTAATTCTGCATATATTTTTAAATCCTAATATACGAAAGCATCCTCAATGGAAAGATGATTAAACATTCACCTGCTACCTAAAGGTTGGTGGTTTATTTACTAGTAGATTCTTGGGAGAAAAGACCTATCAATCTGCTTCTGTAAAAACCCCAGCCTAGGAAGCACTGTGGAACAGTCCCGTGTGCCCTGTAGGATCTTTAGGAGTCAAATACCTCATGGAGAAGATAAGATGCTACCTGGCTAGAGAGACAAGGGCACTTTCCCCACCAAGGCTGCTGGAAAGAGCCTTCTAGGGAATTCTGGGTTTTATTTCTAGGCCCTTAAACTTTAAGAAAGTGAATTTCTACTTAAAGCCACCACTTGTAGCATATCTGTTATAGCAGCACTGAGAAATCCAACAAGCTTAAACCAAAACCACCACTCCTTGGAGTGGAGATGTAGGGAAGCCGTGATGCTTTTATGGAGCCCTGGTGACCTTAGTGGGTGAAGATTCCATAGCCAACCCAAAGGCAGGTGGTTGGAATTCACCAGCTGCTTCTCAAGGAAAGATGGGCAATTTCCTCTCACGTCATTTCTAGCTTCTGATCACCTGCTGGAGGGTGCGCTATGAGACTGTTCTGATTCAACAACAATGAGGGTGTGTGTGTGTGTGTGTGTGTGTGTGTGTGTGTATTCAGAAGTTTATTATGAGGAATACCCTTCAATGATTCATAGGTCAGTAGATGAAACTCCAGCAAAATCCCGTGTATGTTCTAATTTTTTTTTAAGGTGCATTTTGTGCCCAGGACATTCCTTTGAATAAAGCAGGCTCTTACCAACTTTGTCTATACAGTTCGAAGTAGAGAAACCTTTTTCATCCTGGAAGGGCCCAAACAGTGAGAGGCCAGTGCCAGTAAATAGTCACTGACACACCAGCTGTTGTCCAGTCAGCTCCAATTCATAGTGAATCTGCCAGCATCCGAGGAACTCTCAGTCCCAGAGGGTTTTCAAAAACTGCTTCTCCAGATATAGGTCACCAGGTCTTTTTTCCAAGGTGCCTCTGGCTGGACTAAAATCTGCAATATTTTGATAAGCAACTAAACCATTAACTCTTTGTACCACTCAGGGACGCTTAACTACACAATACTCACTCATCACCATTGAGTCAAACCAACTGCACTCACCATCCAGTGGGTTCTAGAAATTGCATGGAAAGAGACCACACAACTATCTCCCACTGATGAAGTAAAACTTTCATAAAGGAGCCACAGTTTCCTACAGACCACACCACCAGAGCCCCCACAGAGACACAAGACACGATAAAGAATTCAAAATGAGAAGTCTTCCTACCGATTCCAGAAGCCACCATCTCGGATGGTAAAAGATACCATGGTGCCTCCTGTCTTTTCCCTCTTCTGTCAGCAAGGGGAATTAGAGCAGAAAGAAGCTGGATGAGCAAAGAGGAGAGAGAGGTTCCTCCCCCAAACCC